ATTCGGGCAAGTCTTCGATTACTCGCCATGTGGGCGGATTCAAGATGAGGTCCTGGTGAGGAAGACTGGCAGACTGATAAGCGATGTGAGTTCACGATGAAGCGATGCTCAGTAGCTCCGTATTTGGTTCTGCGTCCTTGAAATCCTGATCTTCGTCGTTCTCAATAGTCATGTGTTCTTCGGCGCAAGCTGGCACGACTGACTGAGAGTGAGGGCGGTGAGGATCGGCGTACTGAGAGGAGAAGCAGAGAGCGATTTGTCGCAGATTGAGAATCCTCGAGTCGCGAGGCACAGTTGCCCGAGCAGGCGCCTGGCCCCGAAGGCGGTGCGCTGCAAGGAGCCACAGTCGCAACCAGGCAAAGTGCAAAGGCTAGAGATGAAGATGAGGCAAGGGCAGGCCCAGGTAACTAGATGCTCCTCTAAGAGCGGCTGGCACAACCTGCCAATCTGCTGAGACGTCGTGTTGGCTGGCTGTCGCGACTTGCTCCCCGGCACACTGTGAGAGTCAAAGAACTTCAATCGGGGAGAAGTATATGTGCGGTAAGGACAAGGTCGTATGGTGACCGCGTTCGAAAGCGCGACGAGTAGTGAGAAGCGTGACACGCAGGCCGTCCAAGTGATGGAGAGAGAGAGGGGGGGAAGAGAGAGACGGAGGGGCGATACAGAGTGAGCGCCTATGCCTGGGCCTCTAGATGTTGCCTACCTACCCTATGAACTTGCCTGCCTTGGGCTGCCCGCGGTGCGACAGAACTGGTGCGGTGTGCTGCTCGTTCCTCGCTCCTCACAGGGCAAATTGAAGGGCAGTCGCTACCTTCCCTCCCTGAACAGTGAGTGGTATGTACCCAGGCAGGGTAGGCAATGCGGGGGTGGAGGCGGAAGGGTGAGATAGAGAGGTACACTAACTCGGCGCTCTTACTTGGCAATGTCGCCCGCTCATCAGGGCGAGACCAAGTAGAGCAGTAACAAATCATGGGCTAGATGAGGCGAGAGGGTGGGGTGTGGGCACGAGGGCGCTTGCCAAGGCCAACCCCCGCCCTCCGTCTTCATGCTCAGCCAAGACTATGGCAGGGTCTACCTGCCACCTTCTTGCCTTGGTACCACGCTACCTGACCTGGCCTGAGGGACCCCTCGGGGTGCGCTGGAAGGGGGATGGTTTACCTTCCTGCCCTGAGCCCTGGGCACAGGGTACGCGGAGCCTCCCGCCTCGTGCCCACCGGCTTCTATCATGACACAGCTGCTTCCAGGAAGCGAGCGCGCTCCGGATTTGCGACCACTAGAATAACCACAGGGCGAGAAGGAGAAGAAAACACGTTGCGAAAGAATATCCGCATCGGTCGATTTACGCGCAATCTTCATGATATCTTGGCCAAGAAAATGGAGATGGGGAAAAGGCCACGGTGGTGGGAGGAGAGCCAGCCGGTAAGCAGGCATCGAGACCGGCACTCATCTGTTCTGTTGCGACCGTTGCCATGCCCGCGGCTAACGCTCCAGCCATCGACTCCACCTCGCATCTAAGCCTCACTCTTGGCATGTATTTCTTCCTGCGATTGGTGCACCCTTCAAGCACCCCGATTCTTCATGCTGCACAGCACGTAGGCACTCCACACTGAACCTTTTTGTTGCCCACCTTGCCCACCAACCTGTGAGCCCGCCAGTCCGTCACCTTGTGGTACCTAGAGTGAGCAGTCTGGTGTCTTCGGTGAGTGGTTTCCTGCACGGCAGCGGACCACTCTGTATCTGGGGCATGCGACATCGGCTCGAAGGAACCACTGAGCAGGGTGGGTGGGTGTGGCGGGCCAGAGAAATCTACTAAAGGTCAGGTGCTCAATTTGACGAGGGGCGGCACGTGGGTGAACATAGCTGCCAGCGAGAACATATACATAATAGTTCCCTGGCATCCTGCAGGTGCTTGATCGCAGAACTTCGGACATCTCTGAAGAAAAGAAGTACCTATATACCTGAGCAGTCGAAAGTGGAGTTCCGTTAACCTCACGTAAGGTAGCATACAGCGTAAAAGCGTGCGATCTTCACATGGGCATCGTACTCGTATTGGGCTCATTCGCTCTTACCTCAATTCTCTGAGCTTGAAGAAACGGCGAAAAGGCCCATTTGGAATTCCCCAGGAGACATGTGGTCCGTGGGACCGTAGGCAAAGCAGTCTGCTCCTTCGATCTATCCTGGTTTGTAATCGTAACTGCGCTCCTTGCGACCGTATTACGGTACATACCGCCGCACCACCCACTACCCCGAATAATGCCACTTTGCGCAGGAAGCGAGAGAAAGATATTACTTCCTTTGAGCCGGTGGGAAATCCGTCTCTTGTCAAAAGGGCCACTCATTCTGCTGTGTTCGAGGCTCGCTTTTGACTTTCGCTGAGCTTCGACGGTGCTTGATCTAGCCTCCGAACTCCATGTCCAACACTTCACTGTCTAATGGCCAGCGTTTGGCCCATGAGCATCATGTCTCAACAGCCGCTGTTGATATGCTGCCGTAAGAACGGAGCGGTATTACTGCCATCAACTTCGATTGAAGCCTCCTCGCGGTGTGCACCACCATAGCAACTCCAGACTCGCGCCGCGACCAAGTTCTACATTTGACTGTATACCCAGGGCTTGACAGCATCATTTTCTTAGTGTATGGCGAGGAAGAAGTAGACGTGAACGACAGAATCCTGGCTAAGTGCGGTGCAAATAGCGTAATCGAATTCGTCCAACTTGAGAGCAACCCAAGCCTACGTCCAGTCGTCGGTGATGCAAGACCACGCACCATTGTCTTTAGCGCACGACTCTCCGTGGGGGTATTGAGGACAACGTACTCTTCTACAGGTACCAACCACCCAGCGCTATCGGGTGTTCCATTTTGTTTGCCGGTTCACAACCCCATTTCATGTGACGATTGATCTACAGCAAGAACACTAGTAGTGCGTCGCTGCCTAGTGCTGGCCGAACTTCATCAAGCTCTGATATGTTGATGAGATAACAATTTGGTGCGGAACTGGTAGCAGAGCTGAGGCCGTCTAGGCTCTAGGCAGCCTGCCTCGAGCTATAATCTCATGCCTGGCAAGACAGTGCTCCCGTCCGACCTGTTTAGAGAGAACCGATTTTCGATTAGATAGCGTGGAGGCAAAGGAGGTTTTCTTCTTCTACCATAAACTCGAAAAAATCGTGGCGGCGTGCGAAAGATCCGTTGAGCAATGCATCGCATACCCCAGTCAAGGCTACGCCGATATCAGTTTTGTCGAGGCTTGACAATCCCATCGTGCACAAGATAATAGGATATGGTGGAATCAGCGTGTATGACGGCCACGAGTATCCTTTTGTGGCGCGCAGCACCTCTCCAATCTCGTCCGGAAGACAGCATATCCCGCTCCGCCGGTTGCACTACGGTCCCAGGTGGCAGCACGTCCAAAGTGTCGAATATAGCGGAGAATTTGCGAAGGGACAGCTTCTCAGTGATGTGAACTGGCACAACCCACTCAAATTCTGGCCGTTGTGCAGCCTCTGTGTCGACAGGTTGTCCGGACTGGAGGGCCTCGATCTGCTCGTCGGGGTGCACATAGATTCTGCGCGGGGGTAGGCCGCTCAGAGCAGGTCGGGGCAAATTACCATCGACGTTGTTGACAGGTGACTGAACTCGAATGTTTGTCCAGTCATGTTGGTCCCGAAGATTGTCGACTACCAAAGCAGTGAGGTGTGAGAAATGCAAAATGTGAGACTCCATAATACAAGACCACAATGTAGTCGGCCACGTGTGTTGTGTCTATGGAAGTGCTGAATGGTGAAATCTGCGTTCATCGGTTTCGGCAGGTTGGAAGCAGATCGGAGTGAAGTTCTTTCAGATGGTAGAGGGGCCTCTCTGGGCGATGTGGGTCCTGGTGAGATGTAGGGGCTTACTTACAGTGAGGCTGGTTCGTTACACACGGTACAGTCCGACGCCTCATGATCGGGCACTCAGGATGATACGGAACTACCTAATGGTGCATAAGGTACGGTTAGACGAACATGAGGCAGGTTCGCGGCCATAGGCGACTGTACCTCAATGATCCCAAAATTGTTATTTGAAAGTCATGGCAGGTTTTCTAGAGGAAGATCGCTCTTCCCTAAAACGCAGCGTCATTGAATAAACTTCGAGGTTCCTGAAGATCTGGAATAGAACCTTTCCTGAGTAGGCAGTACGTAGGTGGGCTGGTGAACATTGTGGCGGCCAGTCGGCGCCACAATAGCGGGAGCCTGGCTAGGTAGCAGGGGTAAGTCCCGATCTCAGATGCTGAATGGGAAACTTTGGTGCGATGGGAATTGTATCGCTGTGAAGGTTGAGCGCTTACTGTTTCATCGGTGACGACAACGATGACGGCTGTTTGCTGCAGTACCTCACAAATATTAAGCCTAATTGGATGACACCCCAGCTCACTGCCAAGAGCTACCTCATCACTCGTCATATCATCGACAGGCGTGTCTCTCATGATAACCTGCTTGTTCGCCTCCAGATTGTTTCCATAATACTTTTGTAGCAGCCCACTTTCCCTCGACTGCGTCAACAATCAAAAAGCCAACTGGAAACAATTCCTTAGTAGATTATCAGCGCGTCATCTCTACAAAGCTTCCACAGCCCGGGTCCGAAGTCAACCCCGCCCCCCTCCTCTCTATCACATATTAGCAGCTATCGTAGCGCCATCAAATAGCAGTCGAGGAGAATTCGGACGTCCCGTCCTACACACTCTCCTACCATACCACTTTATCAGCTCCGAAATCGAAACAAAATCCCATTGCACGAGTCGCCCGTCCATCTATAAAAGCACAGTTCACTGTATGACCGCGAGAAATGCGGTCATACCTGCACCGAACCTCCTAAACACAGCCAGCGTTGACAAGAATCCAAGCACCTCTCCCTCGGCGTCTGCTGCCAGGGCAAGGCAGGAGAACATGACCCACGCTGAACGGCTATCCCGGGGAGCCACTGCTACGGCCACTAATACCACCGAGCCATCTCTATCGGAGCCGTATCAGAATGGGTATCACTTCCCTCCACGACACTCCCTCAAAGAGTCGACACAACTTGGCGCCATTGCTCTTTGGAACTACGCATGTACTCCGCTTGGCTTCTTCGTCGTTCTATATGGGCTTCTGGTGGTAGCATGGGGGGGCAAGCTTTTCCTCCTACTCTGCAACGCAGCTCCAGCTATGTGCCATCCCTCTTGCGAGCATATTGACTCACCACGACGCAAGTGGATTGAGTGGGATTCGCAGATTGTCAATGCTCTGTTTTGCGTCACGGGCTTCGGCCTTGCTCCGTGGAGATTTCGCGACCTATTCTATCTATTGAAGTACCGTGTTGGTTCCAAAGACGAAGCCCTACGCCACCTGGCTGGCATTCATCGCAGTTGGTTTCGCCTCCATGGCTCAGATCGACTTCCTCCAAGGGTGGGGCCCCAAAGCACCAGCGAACTCTTCGAAGACCGACCACTCGTCAACGTTCCGTCGCCGGAGAGCAAGATTCCAGATGCACCGTTAACAGGTGTGCGCGCCGGGCCTACTCCGGAATGGAAGATGGACTTTGTCATATGGTTCATGGTCAGCAATACGTTTCTCCAATGTGGACTATCCGGCCTCATGTGGGGTATGAATCGTTACAACAGACCAGCTTGGGGCGTCGGACTGCTCGTTGCTCTAGCTTGTGGTGCTGCCGCTACTGGTGGGTTGATGATGTTCCACGAAGGGAAGAAAGTGAAGAGGATTGAAGGTGTACCAGTTAGCGATAAGGATGTGGAACAACTCACGAGAGACAAGGAGCTTGGCGTAACCCACTATAACAACATTAAGGACAAGAAACCAAAGGAGAAGAGGAAGAAAAGAAAAGTAAGGGAGGCTGAGGATAAAGAGGCCGCTCAGCCTAGCAGCGGTTAGACCAGAGCGATGTGGCCTCTACGTACTACATGAATACGAGCAAGCTTTCACCTGTTATACACCAACAGGAATGATTTTGGAGCATCGAGGAGCTTGGAGAAGAACTTTGGTAATGATCATCGACCCGCGTCGACAAGGAACTGTTTAACACCATAGGCTTTAGCTTATTTGATAAGGAATCCGCTTGCCACCTTTCTACCTCTGTGATCCATCCGCTGAATGATCTCCAAGGTAGCGAGGTACTCCTGGGTTAGCTACAAAGGGACCTACCTAAGGTAGGCAGATAGGTAGCTCATGTGGACCATTCAACCCATGCCTCGGGGTTGGGCGCATGACCCCCATCATGTGGTTGCTATCCAAGTCTATAATTGGCCACCAGTGGCAGAATTATGGGGGCTACCTGGACTAAGAATCCGACTCATACTCCACAACGCGATAAGCCTTAGATACAGGTACCGATGTCACCGTGAGGCGTGCTTGGACATCAACTGTTCCCCTCCCGCATTCGGCCCAGATCCAACCACTTCCACTTGCTCAACAAGAACGACAGCGCATGTTCAAACTGTCTGAAGACAAACTGCCGAAACAACTGGGTTAAAAACATTGAACAAGCGTCGGCAAGTCCTGCTTCAAGGCACCACAGTCCGGGCAAACTCGGCCGTACATCACCATGGCGGCACGGTCTATGATACCGTTCCTCGTGGGCATGATGCTTCTGACTGGTTGCTGTAACACTATCCTTACAAAGTACCAGGTCAGCGCTTTCTTGATCTCCGCTCATACTGCAACGATTGCTTTTTACTGACTCCTTGCGCCTTCAGGATATGCAATGCGTCCGAAATTGCGACCATCCCGACGTCTCGCGCCGCGCTTACTTCAACCAACCTGTCCTCCAGACAGCTCAAATGTTCGTCGGCGAGATGGGCTGCTGGTTGGTGGTTGGCATCATGGCGCTGTGGCGCCGTTACGTCTCTCGATCGACACCTCAAGGCGACGGATACGAGGCGGTTAGCACTGATGATACCCACGCCGATGAAGCGAGGGCAGCCCTCGTCAACGACACGAGTGATAGGGGCCCAGCGACAGACGACGAGATACCGGATTCTCCTAGGCTACGTGGTCGATTGCTTCTTCTCCTTGCTTTGCCGGCAGTTTCCGACATCTGCGGCACCACGCTTATGAACATTGGCCTGCTTCTTGTGGTGGCCTCTATCTATCAAATGACAAGAGGCGCGCTCGTTCTCTTTGTCGGACTCTTCAGTGTTGTATTCCTACGGCGACATCTCCATCTGTTTCAGTGGCTCTCTCTGGCAGGCGTCGTAACTGGTGTTGCCATTGTCGGCTTGGCTGGAGCCATTTATCACGAAGAAACCGATGACGAATTCAAGGGTGACGCGTCGCTCATGCAGACAGTCCCTACCTCAAGCGCCCTTCTTTCTGTCATTGGTGTCCTCCTCATTGCTGGAGCCCAAATCTTTACTGCTACCCAGTTTGTGCTGGAAGAGTGGATCCTAGAGCGTTGGGCGATTGAACCTATCCAGGTTGTCGGCTGGGAGGGTTTGTTTGGTTTCGTTGTCACACTCGTCGCTATGGTAGTTCTTCACGTCGCCGTGGGCAGTACAGATGCCGGTCGCTACGGCTTCTTTGACATGGCGGAGGGCTGGAGACAGATGACATCGGACAGAAGAATCGCCATCTCCAGTCTCCTGATTATGATCAGCATTGGGTAAGAGGTGTACGAGCTCTGCTACCATCTCACATTGTGCTGACAGTTTTCTTTAGCGGCTTTAACTTCTTCGGACTGTCCGTTACGAGAAGTGTCAGTGCAACCTCACGATCGACCATCGACACGTGCCGGACACTCTTCATCTGGATAGTGTCTCTCGGTCTTCGTTGGGAGACCTTCAAGTGGCTGCAGGTTGTTGGCTTTGCGCTGCTTGTCTACTTCACATTCGTCTTCAATGGCATTGTGCAGCCACCCTTCAAAGCGTTACGACCTGATGAGGAGATTGAAGAGCTGTTGCCAGAGGATCCTATTCAGCATTAGGCAGGGAGCCTCCGACGTTTATCAAGGAGAATAGAAGCAACAATCGAATTGAGAGAACGTGTTCACGCAAGCCGGACAATATTACGACATGCAAGTAACATCCCTTCCAAGATGCGCAGACACGGGTTCTCCTTACTCCTCGATGTTCGACATGAGGCAACCTTGTGCTTCATTTTCTAGATAAATACCGAATATTTATATCCTCAACTACTGCTCTTTCGATGTGACTCGAGGCCAATGTCGATGCGGGGTGGAGTGTAAGAACCCGAGTATGTTTGCCGTGAGCGACTGTCGACTCTAGGCCGGCCAGAGGTCCCATACAAGAAACCTCACGTCACATTGCAGAGAAGCTCCGCCTCCAGAATGAACTTGCCCTCCTTGTACTTCTCAGTAGTTTCGTACGCCTTGTCGTACTTCCATCCCACGGTCTCTTTGCACTGTCGGCAAGTGATATCACGGACGATATGCCTCCCAGTTGTCATATTGCGCTCGCTTGGCTCGCCCATGTCAATGTTCACGACATTATTGAATAGATAGGCTTTGCCGTGCTGGCCTCGAAAGTTCTGTCAAACCATCCGAAATCGTCAGCAAATGCGCGGCGTGGTCCGCTTAGCCAGGGAAGGGGGTTTCCCGAGGCTGGGGATCAAAGTCTCACTCGGCTGATTATGTCCTCATGATTGGCGAGGTGCGCTTTGCACGTCTTGCAGCCGTAGATTTTGCTGCTGTTGAGGTACGTGTTGTAGGCGAGGCCCATCTTCTACGTGTACTTGACTGAATGACGGGGAACAGCGCAGAGAAACTGAGCGCGGGGACAGTGATCGTGAGCTGCAACGCGGTTGTAATGGGACTTGATTGTATCCGCCAGGTTGCAGCTGCGCAAAGCGGGGATTCCTCGTCTGTTTATTGGCCTCCTTGAAAGCTCGGGTTCAAAGCTTGGTGCAATGTGTTCGCAATCTTCCCTGAAGGAGTGAGGCCAGTGCCGATTGTCGCTGCTAGGCTTGGGGAAGAGACAGAGAGGTGAGTACAAGCGAGGAGTAGGTTCATTAAGAATGACGACCCAGTTCAAGGTGCGTGCAAGCCCAAAGGATCGGAAGAGGAGCAGGAGGAAGACCGGGTCAAAACCCAAGGAATCTGTTCTGAAGACAAATCTGGTCTGAGAGTAAGAAAGCTTCTTCTACACAACCAGACAAGGGTTGTATGTAGGCAGTCCAGGTGGATGTTTGCTGCCTACCTTACCAAAGGAGGCAATAGCGAACTGCGGGGCGTGATGATTGCGGTTTAGATCCGACGGCTGTCACGGGGGCTACGTGAGTGAGCAGCTGACACCTACCTACTACTCCCTGACAGAGAAACAGCTTTAGGCCAAAAAGTCGCGTCATCCCGTTGGTGGGGATCTGGCTGAGACCCATTTATCGATAGGTATGTTGCAGTATACCGTATGACGCACTAATGTGGCTGACTGAGCACTAACTTGGAGGCGGGATGAGGTTACGACCACAAGAACTTGTGTCCTCCGAGTACTGCACCTAACTACCTACCAACTGAGCACTCGACAAGAAAAAAATGGTCCCACCAGAAGGCTCTACAGTAGATTTACTACGTGAAAGCGAGGCATGGATCGGACCTGACGGGGGGCTCTCTCATTCGGCGGAATAATTTTTGATACCTACCCAGTTGCCAGGGTGGCACCTCAGGTAGGCGGACACATGAGCAGGTACCCAGCGTCAGGAATATCAGGGCAACAGGAACCAAAGCAAGCAACTCAAGGAGGCTGTGGTACTATGGGAACCAACCATCGGTTAATCGGTCATGGTCATGCACACCCTGTCCATCCTGCTCTATCGGCCTCTGTGTGCATATTGCCTGCCGAGTGCCAAATATTTGATTCAAACCTATGGCGGACCGAACGTGGTGGAAAACACGGACAAACGGGACTAATGAATGTCGTCATTGGAAGAGGCACAAGCATAGCCATGACATGGCCTAGGTTGGATACAAAAAGTCCCTATATGTACAAAGTAACCCGCCCGTGTCGTCTCTACACTAGTCGGAACGAGATTCTGTCTTGCCCCCTGAAGCAAGACAACAAACAATGACCCTTGTTGGCGTTACCAAGAGAAAGCTTCCTCCACGAAGTCAATCTCGCCATCATACTGGCGAGCGCCGCACAGCGCGTCGCACGTCATCACTGAGAACACCAGGTCCACAAACGGTAACCCCCAGGGCACCGACCTGTTGCTCCATCTCAGCAGCCAACAGAGTATCAATGTTGGGTCTGCCAGGAAACATCTGAACCGTGGCAGAGGGGCTGTGTATTTCCTTGCTCGAGCGGGGCCTGCTCACGAAAAGCATGATGCGGAGGACATCTCGGCGTTTGTCCATGGCCAAGATTTGTGTCATCCACGGCCGGATCCATTCAAGATGTTCAGGGCTCTGGATGACCCACACCAATGTAATGCGCCTCGTGGCCACAGTTCCATTCGCGTAGCCGATGACGAGATCTCGCACGTGAGGCACTGCTTGTGTGATCCCGACACCACCAGCAAACAACATGACAGTGCCATAAGACTTCATGTTGTGCAACTCGCCGTACGGCCCTTCAACCATGCAGGTTGTGTGCATCTGGCCACGTGGGCACGCCGATGCCTTTTGGAGGAGCGTGTTGGTGAACCCTGTTCTTCCTCGGATAACAAATGATATGGTAGTCTTGCGCATCTCCAGAATATCCTGCCGGTTCATGGTAAGCTTCTCGGAGCTGAGGTCCTCGGCGTCTTCGCTCCAGGCCACAGAGAATGGATGCGATTGCAGGTAACTGAGTGACGGCATATACATGTAGGCATGTTGCCCAGGCCTGAAGGTCCATGGTCGGGCCATGTTGACGGTTACACGCACAGCATTGCCTGGAAGTGCCTCGACGAGCGCTTGGCTGCCACCTCGGCCGAAGTTGCCGTATATGACCCTGAAAACACGCCAAAGACGGTCCACGGCCCAGATGACAATGGCGGCAATCAAGTAGCGAAGCTGCGGGAGATCCTTGAGGTGGAGATGATACCACGTTCCCATGACAGCGAGAATGGCGAGGACAATGTGCAGAAGCTTGAATATTTCGTAAAAGGCGTGTCGGATAGGACTCCAAGCCTGGATGAAGATGGCGCAGAAACCACACGTTCCCTACACGCCGTTAGCATGCATAGCTCTCGAAGGGTTTAAAGCTCCCGCTACTCATGGCCTGAGGGGGCCCATGTGGCGATTAGAGAACTTACTAGGAAGCCCCAGAAGAAGGACGGTACAGCGAGAACGGTCTGGAAGCCAGCCTCCCAGCTTTTCGAGTGGGCTTGAGCGGACATGAATGCCATCGTGTGGGCAATAGCCTCGAGGATGACAATGCGACCAAACCAACGATGGAGAAGATTGAACGTGTCGAATGAGATACCCAGAAGATTGATGAGAGGATTGTTCCTGGCGGCCATGAGGAACAAGGGAATCATGTTGACGACAGCAAGGACACCAGTTCGGTTTCTAAAGGCTCTGGCGGCATCATCGTAAGTGGCTGCAAAGGGGATGTCGATACGAGAGGCACGTGAGCAAAGTAAAGTAGCCCAAACAAGAAGACCCAGCTGCAGGCGGGTGGGCAGGGTGCCCAACGTTGACGGCACTGCTTTAGCTGAAATTCCCGGTTTGTGGCGCTTGCTGAATATAGGAGCGTACATGACGTTCCTTCCTTGAAGAACGAAGAGCTTGGTTCGATGCCTCCAGCGGAAGTAGCGCTGCGAATCATTCTTAAGGCACGCAAACAGTTTCGAAACATATCGATGTAGTTGAGTCGAGAGTCTCCAAGCGATGAGGACAAATGGAGCAACCAGTCATAACGTAGTAGAGGTAGTTGCTGAGTGATGCATTGAGGGCAGATGCGGCGGCCTTTGGCGCGATCTCCTCAGGCGAATCTTTGCCCGGTCCTGCCATGGTTCTTAGGTCCGGTTGTAGATTATTGCGACTTTGATGAAGAACCAAGTCCGTCTCGGAATGTCGATTTGTCTACGAGTTGAGGATGATGTTGAGTGTGCAGGATCAAGATCGGAAAAAATAAACCAGTGCGAGCATGACCAGCAAGTCGGTTCGATAGAAGGTACAGCGAGCGGCGGTCGAGCAGAGCAGAACCAGACAGAGCAAAGTCAAAGCAGACCGAAAAGAGAGAACTGGAGTGGAGTAAAGTCGATGGAAGGTGAGTGTCGTAAGGCGTGCGGGAGGCCTGTCCCAAGAATTCAAGACTCACGGAGGGATTGGATGTGGGAAAGGAATGTGGATGACGGCGCAGCCAGTTTGATGAATAAGTACAAAAGGAAGGCAGATGGGGGGAAGATCTTTGAGCAGGCACCAGCGGAATGAGGTCGAGGGGATATACTTAGGTAGGTAGGGTGGGTAGGTAGCTTAGATACTTCAGGCCAGAGGTCGGGAAATGGGGCTAGTATTGATGGGCTCAACATCAAGTGGGGAGTGATAGGCGGCGTGTCTGGTGAGGTCTGGCAGGGCAAGAAACTAGGTAGGTACTGTACATACCATGATGAAAGTAGTGCTCAAGGAGCAGGTTGAGAGATGGACCACACGGCCCTGCCTTGGTTCTGGAGATGATTTCCGAGGATCGTGGCGGCGCGAGGGGGACGGGTGCCACCTACAAGGAAATGTTAATATATTCGAAGCGAGCAGTCAAAGCCCCCTGGCCCTGGCGGAGGTAACGAGGACGGCAGAAGCTCAGGGCACACGAAGCCACCTGCGATCGCTGCCAGGCATTGCGCCGTCGCTTGACTTCCATCTGGTCTCGTCTGTCAGTGGGACGTGTCAAGCAAACGTCTGTCAGGGGCGATGGGCACGAAAACTGAGTTGGGAGAATGGCGGGGAATACCAGGCATAGGCATGCTCGATCTCTCCGTTAGCGCGTCGGCATTCCCCTCAGACCTCGTCACAATGACCAATCGAGTTCTCAACATATGCCATCTCGAGCCGCTGTGTGGGTAGAGCGGGGTGGATCTGAACGGAGGTAACAGGGGTTCCCGGCCACCGATGCGCCGATGAAACAGCCGGACACTCGACGCGATGCAAGGTACGCTGGTCCAGGAGGCAGGCTCAGCCCGAAGGAGAGTAATGATCGGCACGCCTCTGCTCTCCCTTCTCCTTGTTCCTCGTAACTCCATGCTGCCAAGATGACGTTCCTGACACGCTCGATTCTTGCACCGACTCTCTGCTGTCTGCCATCTACATGGACGCCCACCTGATGATGCCTGCCTGATGTGAGTGGGCAATCAATGGCCTTACGGAGCTTACCTACGTGCTCGCTGCAAAGGTAGGCACTTAAGGTTGAACAGTCTATATAGTCTTAGGTTCGCAGATTTGTGAGGTCATCATTGGAAACCATGACTGCCTTGACCCTGCGTGGGCTGCAAGGTGCCCCGTCTTCGCCTCATCGCACAGTCTTGTTTCGCGGCGTTGCCAAGCCTGCATTTTGATTGAGGGAACGCCTCTTTCCCTCATACAATTGCGCACGCTGCTTGCATCTTTCTTGTTCGTGTCGCACCTTGCAACTGATCTAATTCTTTTGCCTCCGACACCCAACGGCTTTTCTGAGGATGATAGGCTGTCACGACAGCCCGAGGCACACATGACCCACCCCCTCCTCATCATATCCGCCCACTTGTTCTGAAACCTAGTTCCCTGAAGGCCTGGCCCTCGCTGACAGCAGAATGTTGGATTGGCCAGCTCCAGGTCCTGTCCTTGGCCCCTTTTTGAGAACCAGCATCGAGTACATGGTGTGCATGGCACGCTGATAGTGGTAACCTTCGCTCATGCCATTCGTCGTCCCGTTTGGGGCGCTCGGCCGGCCAACGTGGTGCGGTGCAGAAGAGACCAGCATCGAGTGATGCCTGGGTCTGTATTCTGCAAGATCTACTACGTACTCGATACGCGAGTCCCTCAGAATCCCAACTCATCGTCACTGACCCGCGCCTGTGCTTGTGGCTGTCGACCGCTGATGTCTTCCAGTGCCTGTCGCTTGGACTTTGGCCTCGCCGCCATCGCGGCCCTTTCCTTCTTCGTCACAACTGCAGCTGGAGTCCGAATCTGCTGCTTTGTTGGTGCAAGGACTTCTTGCACAGTGCCACCGACTTCCACCCGTCGTCTTCGTCTCCCCGCCGGCCCCTTGATATCCGCCATAGGATAACGACTGCAAGGCCGCTTGGGACTTGCCACCACCCATTCACTAATACCTTCCTCCCACCTGTATCCCACAAACGTGGCCTTGTTGACGCAATTCTGTTCCATCACAGAGTGGTGTGGGCCTGATACAACAGTGCTCATGCATTCAGCAAATGCAAGGTCGCGCAGGTCATGCGTCTTATGCGCCAGCAAGAAGGCCCCGTCCTGTCTGAGGCTCTCTAACCCAGGCAACCCGGCCTCTTCAAATTGGTCGCAGAGCTGTGAGAAGAAACGATGCGGCGCCACTGATGTCGTCCTTGCTGACGCGCGCGCGATGGAGCATGCCAGTCCTGCTGTGACATTGTACCGGCCGACGGTGAGTGTTTTGGGAAATCCCTTCCCTCCTCGAGGCCAGTGCTTTCTCACATCTAGCATGTGTCCGTCATTGGCTGCGTGGACATTGTCGAAACCTGCTGCTGAGACGACAAATATGGCAAGTTCGAGCATATACAGCGCATCGTCATTGCCCTTCCGACTTGTACCCCTGGCCAACGCTTCATGCAAAATGTAGACGACGCGATGGAGTGCATAATTCTGGACGTGGCTCGCCTCTTCGTCTGCTGCTTCTGCGAAGCATTTGTGCCCCTGCGCCACCATAGACATGGCAATAAGACCGCCCACCGCACTGGCAAGAGTCGAGAGACTATCGGTCATTGTCATGCATTGCGATCGTGGCGGCGATCGTGTAAGGCAAGCTAGAGATGCGACCGCAGCTGACGCATGTTGCAGGGCGTAAATGCTGGTTCTGGGCTCCGACACAGCCCACGATGCTGCTTTCCATAGGTTTGATAGGGCTTTAGTCGAGAGCCATTCAGCAGGAAGTTGCTTCGAAGACAGGAGCGACGACGTGCTGCGTGAGAGTCTTGACGCCATTGCCGGCTGTTCAATTGCTTCGACTACCAGAGATAACGAGGAGAGACGACTGTCTTCCCTCAGCTGACTTCGAAGTGATCGTGGGGCCGGGTAGGTTCGCTCAGCTGTCGTCTCAAATATCGTAGAAGCGTCCTCCGTGTAGCCGAACTGATTGTAGTGATGTGCGATGATGCCAGCAAAGACAGGCTCGATCAGTCCCTCTGTGATTGCCTCTCGGATCAACCAAAGTGCGTGTGCGCGCACCAGGGAGGCAAGGTATTTCCACCCAGCATCGGAGCCACTCATTTGCTCAAGGTCGGTGTATAAACGAGTCGTTGCACTTGGAGGAGTGAATAGCGAAGACGCTCCTGTTTTGGATGCGTTGTTGGTTTCCCATGCCTCAACGCCGGCAGCATACTCTGGGATCTTACGCAAACACATGTGCAGAAGAGACTTCTGGTTGGAAATAGAGTCAGGTGTCGCTGTCGTACGGAGGAGAGTGTCCAAGATTCGCAACATACTCTCGTAATGCACGTAGCGATGCTGAGCTACGGGCGACTGTGCTTTCCTCAAGCAGCCGATCGACGCAATGAGCGGTCCAGATTGCGTCGGACTGCCCGAGTAGGATATGGATCGGCTGCTCCTGTTGCGGGTGCCCTGACCGTCCTTACTTGCCTCGGTAGACACACCCTTCTCGGTTTTGACCAGCTTGGTCCGGCGGAAGATGGGAGTCTGCGGCATGGGACCACCGAGAGTTCGCGGCCGGTCCTCATGACCCCAGCGTGTCGTGTCAACGGCGCAATCAGCTCCGGTAGCCTGCCTTTTGGAATAGGTACGGCATGGTCTTTTTGTTTCGTGCAACTGGTCTCCGTCTGCTATCTTCCGCTTCTGCGACAACTTGGCAGAGCCGTTGAGGTTCTCAGCTTGTATGTGAGGGAACGTGCGCTCTTGAACATATATCTCCCTCCGTAGCGCAGCTATGCGATTCTGAAGGGGCCGCAGCAAACGATGACACCTCGTTGCAGTCCATGACAATCGTGACTTGTCAATTCGCGGTGATCGTGTCGCTGGTGATGCTTTTGATGACCGCGTAGTCGTAGAAGGCGACATTCTGGCGTGAGCCGATTTAGTATGAAAGCGGGCTCGAGGCCGCCACCATATGCATATGGTGTAGGCTGCGAGTAGAAATGATGTTATAGGTTGCGAATGGTTACTTGGATGCCAGAAGACCAAGAACAAGGGAGCGTCATCCCAGACGCGTCAGAAGCTAAGGACTCGAGAGGGGAAATGTAAGTTCGCTTGGAGCAAACATTCTTTCGTAAAAGGTCGTGTCGTCTATCGGCGTAAGTGAAGCTTAGGATCAACGACCGATGAACGAGGTGGTGTTTGGTCATGTCCCTTGTTTACTCAATTACCTATATTCATACTAGCGTCACCAGCCATGTTGAGGTCACACTGCATTGCAGGCGATGAACCGAGCTTGTGCCGGCACATTGCCGTGGAGCTTAGAGGCCCACAGATTGCCGCTTTCTAGGACACATGGTTGGCTAATGAAGCTCATGCGACGGCTTCGACCCGTGCACGCATTCCCTTTTTTCCCCGTCCTGGGTTCCTGATGCCCCAGAGGGAAGGGACCCAATAAGCGGTCCGGACTAAGCTACCTGGTACTCCAGCGACTGACGATGATTTTTTTCCCGTTCAGCGTTTCCCGAGTTTCGTCCATCATCCACCACCCCTTTCCACATCTCCACGCTTGTACATTCCCTTTGTCTGTCACAGGGAAGCCTAGAAGCTTGTGACAGTGTTTCTTAGTATTCGATTCATCTGCGCTAATCCCTTCTCCGGAGTTTTCGATTTGCTTACTGCCTGTACAACATCGAACTCATCATACTCCCCCAACACTTTACTGCCTTGCTTTACGCTTGGTCACAACACCGCACCAGTGGCACCGACTCTTCCCACCTCCTGGATTTGTAGCAGCTGCTACAAAATATCATCGTCGTCATGTCCTCCGAGAAAAACGAGGTTCCTGCTGGGTCGAGTGAGCAGGCAGTCTTCCCAAGTTTATATATTCCTATTCATTGACTCAATCCAGTCCCTGCCGCTGATGAAGTCGCACCTCAAGATGACGCTGGGCAGGATGCCGCGATTGCCGAAAACCATGTTGATCAGGAAGAGCACGCCGCTGAGGGTACGGCACAGTCTACTCACTGAGACTTGATAGCAAACTGACGTGACGACCAGCCCTCATCAACCTTACGATTGGCCTACCGCAAGAGCCCTCCTCCATGACGATCCTGGTATGCCCTACTGCTTGACGACTGCTTCCGGTTACCCTGTGACATCTTATCTAATAAGAAAAATGGCAGGTCTCACCCCAGGAGCAAGTTCACGAAGTTCGTCAGTCCATTATCGACTTGCCTGCGGCCTTCCGGTACACTTGCTTCCACCTCGAGCACAATGGCGAGCGCGTCAATGACTTCATCCCCATGTCCGAAGTTCCCGGCATTGCCGAAAACCCCAACGTGACGCTGGTTGAGGATCCCTATACCGAAAAGGAGGCCCGCATACATCTTGTTAGGATTCGTGAGCTCATCGGTGGTGCGGGCGACCGTGCCGATGTAGTCCAGGGTATCCTGCCCGGCCTGTCGCTCCTTGATTCTATCGATGTTACTGCGAAGCATGGCTCCGAGCGAAACGAAGATCAGCCGCCTGCTGAGCAGCCTGAACCACTGGCAGAGTCCACCTTCAGCTCTGCAGCTTCGATTTCTCACCTCCTACCGCCCCCACCCGACGATGCTCCCAAGACCATCAAGACCATCACGCTCTCGTCCTGGAACCCGCCCCCGTGCCATTTGAAACAAAGGGGGCACCTGCTCTACTTGATCATCACGACCAACGAAGGTGAACAGTTCCAGGTCACCGCACACGTTGGCGGCTTTTACGTCAACAAGTCTTCCAACAGCAAGTTCGATCCGCTACCGCGGCCGGCTCCTAAAGGACAGTCTGCCCACTCGCTGCTGAGCCTCCTCGAGCTCATATCTCCGTCCTTTGAGTCGAGCTTCAAGGCTCTGCAGGAGTTCAACAACCGCAAAGACCCTCTTGCCACGTTCCAGATTGCCAACGCTATCCCCGCAGCACCCTGGATTGTACCATCCACCACGTCGCCCCACTGCACACACCTCTCCGACCCTACTCGCTCCCAGGAGACGTACCTGATCGCGGGCGTGGACAATACTGACACGCTGCGGGACTGGAACGAGGAGTTCCAATCGGCGAAAGAATTGCCGAAAGAGACTGTCCAAGATCGAGTTTTCCGCGAAAGACTCCTTTCCAAGCTCTTCGCTGATTACAACGACGCTGCCACCCGCGGTGCGGTCCTGGTAGCTCGTGGCGAAATCCCACCTCTTAACCCTACAGAATGCAAGGATGCCCAAATTTTTGTTTACAACAACGTTTTCTTCTCCTTCGGAGCCGACGGTGTGGGCACGTTCACTTCAGAGGGCGGAGATGAAGCTGCACGGGTCGCCACTGGCAAGGACGTCGCAGGCGTAAGGCTAGTGAACCAGCTGGACGTTGACGGCCTGTTCACTACTGCAACAGTTGTCGTCGACTACCTCGGAAAGCGCATCGTTGGCCAGAGTATTGTTCCCGGTATTTTCAAACCCCGCGAGCCTGGCGAGAATCAAATCGACTACGGCGCTGTGGAAGGCAAGGATATTGTAGCTGCGGATGATCGCTTCGTCTCGGTCTTTGAGAAAATATCCCGTGCGTTGAGGGGTAAGAAACATCCAGTATGGGACAAGGAGAGCAAACGCATTGACTTCGAGGCGAGTGTTGAGACCAAGGCTTGA